TGAATATTGGAGATGGTATTTTCCTTGAAACGGGATTTTCTTTTTGCCTGCTGTGTTCAGGCTCTGTTCTTCAGGTGGAAGTGCAAAGATTAAAGTTGATGTGATTTTTTTTGTTTGTTTGTTCTGTTTTGCTTTTTAAACTTTTTAAAAGGTCTGTTAGTTAATGTAACCAACTTAGTGTACCCGGCTATGGGAGAGGGAATGTAGCAAAATCCTTACGGTATATGAAAGATTTTAGCTGAGGCTTTGCTGTCTCTGTTTTTCCACTTTATATGGTAGGGGTTCTGCCTAGCTTCTAATCCATTGTTTCTTACTTGTGGCATATTTCTATAGGAAGAAGTGCAAAAGTGGACTTTATACGCTGGGAAGTAAAAGATGATACATCTCAGTTAGCTTTTTGTTATTGGAAGATCCTTCTATGGCAATATGGTCCTAATCTGTCTGTGAAAATTATTTGAGAGCCCCATGTGCAAAACTTGGAGTGCATTCTGCTTCTTTCATCAAGAACTCTTTCATGTTGCAGTTAGCCAAGAAATACATCTTTTTTTGAAAAGTTACCAGTAAGAGCCTTATGGAATCACTTGTTGCTTCATCACAGGGCAGAGGATTCACATTGATCTATCAGATGGCATCATGTCTACATCGAATATTATGTACTTCATAAAACCAGGTGCAGAAATCTGTACAATCCATTAAAAGCATTCAGAATTGGCCCATGAACCATGAATAGTTCTCTAGGTCTCTTTATAAAGCTGTCCTCTTTGGAGGACACTCACTGAAATTTGAGTGCAAAATGTTAGTTACGCTGCTGTGTAGGATGTTGTTGAGATGTCGCTTGTTTTGAGAATAGCAGCTGTTCAGCAGCAGAGCAGAACTTGCTGCTTATGTCTGCTCAGGATTGCAGTCTTGTCCTTATCACGTGTCCCAGAGGCCACGAGTCTTTCTCATGCTGTAGGATATCACATGGATTTTCATATTCCTTTTGGAAGTGCCTGCTTAAGCACAGAGCATTGCCTGCATTAGTACAGAGCCAGCCCTTCACCTCCAGGGTCTGATTTCTTTCGGTGATTACTTCTAAGTAAAGAACCTTCTGCCTTGGCAAAGGTCTCTGGACAAAAATTGTGAAGCGTCAAGAGTGGTATTGTCTGTTCCGGTTAAAAGTCTCAATTCTGGCAGGAGCTGCCTTGGTGTGAGTAAAATGTGAAGTAGTTCCTACTGCGTGTGCAGTTACATGATGTAAGAGTGCAGTGTCCTTTCGACAAAGATTATGGACTTGTGTAGCCATTCAGCCCCCTCTCTCCAAAATCCACGTACCAGTGATACGAAGCATCTTGTTTGGGTATCACCAAATCAATAGAGTGCTCCTGGATTACGCTCCCTCTTAGACAAAGGAGAGGCTGGTAGGTGGGTGTGTTTGGGTTTGATGAGGAGTTTTACCCCTGTCAGGTGCAATAACAGAGTCTCCCGAGATAAACAGACCTGACTTTACATAATCTGGAGCAAATGCTTTGGGGCTGATGTGTTTTTCTGATTTTCAAGAGAGTGCCTGAACCACCGGGCTGGCCTGGTGGCGTGGCTTGCTGGCTCTCACGGCAAAGAGCTGGCCTAGCGTGGAGGCTCACGCCTAGGACAGGGTTACTGTCTGCGCACCCCGAGTGCCTGAAGGCTCTTGGGCTACGTGGAGCCCTTACCAGTTCCTAGAAGTTGGCTTGGGTTGTTTCTTGGTTTGTCCTGTTGACTGGTGAGGCTCCTGTTCTCGTACGCGCAGTGCTCTGGGAAGGCTGTGGCTGCCCTTAGCTATGCTGTATTAGAAGTAATTATTTCTGCAGTGCGTCATTGTATATATGCACATATGTGATAGCATATAAATGGAGCAAATGCTTTCCTGTATTTAGGTTGGAAATGTGGTAAAAGGCTTAAACTTTGAGCTCAAATGCAGATGTGAGGCCCAGCTGCTTGGTTTGCTGCCAATTTGTAGCTTCCCATTCTCTGGTGGAATATGTTGAGTGTCGGTAATGGATAACCAACAATCAGCTACATCTCAACAAATTTCTTGGTAGTTTGCCTGCATCCCATGCTGATGAGAAGCTAGGATGAAGAAACTCTCATTTCATTCTTCTGAAGGGCAGTTGCATGTGTGAGGTGAAGACCTTTGACTGGAGCAGGACGTACATCGGTACGATACTGGTGATGCGTATTTTTCTTGGCCCTCAAGAAGGGATGAGAAATTGCCATGTGAAGTGCTTGATGTTATGGGTAGGAATGGTGGCTTGGAGACTGAGATAACCTGCTGCGTGATGGTGGCTATTCAAACTCTGTCGTCCTTGTATCATCTAATTTAAGAGGGGGCTCTAGGGCAAGGAGTTGGGGAAGCAGTGAAGGAAACTCCAGCCCCAGGGTGTAGCTTTGTGATCATTCAGGTGAGGAGTTTGGTTGTGCACAGATTCAGTAGTACGATCTTGCCAGGAACGCGCCAGTACTCACGCTGCTCGTGATTCAGAGCAGACAGGAGGAAAAAGCTCCAACTAGTTATTTTGCTGGCTGCTGGTGGAGAAACGATTCTTTACCCAGCATGAAGCCTGCTGATACAAAGCAAACTGCAACACTTCTGAACAGATTTGAATCTGCAGGAGGAGTCTGCACTGGACCACTTCTGCACATCACGAGGTAGTACTGGTTTTGAGGTGGTGGTGTGAGCTAAAGGCAGATCTTTTTTGTGTCATCAAACCGTTATTTTAGCCGGGTCTTCTGAGGTTGTAAGGGCTGGTCCCACGGATTGCTGTGATTGATGCTCTTACCTGAGCACGGGAGAGGTGCAGGGATGCTGGAGGCTGTGAGCATGCGGGGCTCTCCTGCAGGGGCTGGCAGGGCAGGTCGCCTGTTCTCTGTGACAGTCCTGCTCACCACAGAGGTTTCTGCCCAACCCTACCTTAGCAGCTTTGGTGTTGAGTGTTAGGAATCCCTGTGCATAAACAAAACCCTTTACTCATAGAGGAGGAAAATCTTCAGAGGACGACACCGGTAACTGCTTTCAGTGGGTTGGTCACAGATCTTATGTGGGGTTTCGGCGTGGATGTCGGTGTTGTTACACTTCCAGAGGGTAAGAGACTGCCATGTTGTCAGTTCCTGTTCCCGAGGGATATTTTTCCCCAGCCATCTTCGCAGCACAGGATAGAGCTTGGCAGAGCTCTTCACTGGCTGTGGGATGTTCTCTTGATCCTCTCCCTGCCTGCTGTCCTGGAAGAACCCCAGAATTTCTTCCAACGCCTGAACTCATGACAGATCGCAGCGTGTGGGAGTGACATGAGATGTGATATCTGGCAGACAAGTCAAGCCTTTTTGTTCTTTTTCCTGCGAGTTTTCCTTTCCTGTTCCATTTCGTGTTTCCTTTTCTGCATGCAGCAGTTCCTGAGCTTAAGCTGTGAGGCCGTGCGTGTCTGTGAACTGCTTTGAAGGGGCCTGTGAAAAGTGATCAGAGAAAGGAAACTTGCTGGAAGGTCTACATCCGCACTAGCGTGCCTACACCTTGAATGGAAAATGGTTAGACACCCACCAATCATTAAAAAGGAGTAAATACCACTGCCACAGAGAGTGGGACAACACTCCTCTCCCTGGTATTTGAAGTATTTATTTCTAGTGGTTAAACCTGATGTCGCTCGCTTGTGTTTATTTTCTGAACTTGAACTGAAGCATGTACGTGTGCCTAGTAAAAAGGGGATGGGTCAGCTAGGGTGTAGTTCTATAGCAGACCTGGGAACCCTTGAACCATTGCGAGGGGTATTTGTAGGCCACCTAAGTTCACCCCACACTGTGCTAGACTCTTTTTGTGGAGATTTTGCAACTCCCCTGCTTCTCTCCTCAGCACTGACAATCCAAGGAGCCTTTAAAAATGCAGGTAAGGAAAAAGTTGAACCAATAATGAGTTTCTTTTCCTCAGCATTTTAAACCGAAACATGTACTTCCTTCTCCTGTCGCTGGGATTTCACTGAAACCCCTTCAGCAACACGTTGTTGAACAGTGACCTTTCATCTGTCATAGCAGGAAGGAATCCTAACCAAATGCAGCCCAGTAGCATGCTTTAGAACAGTCCTTACATTTCTAACAAAACTTCAAAAGCCAATTTAATCTATAAACAAAAATGTCTGTAAGCAAAAATGTTCCTTTTCTAAAAACAAAATAAAAATAAATCCCAATACAATACAGTCGCTTTACCGTCAGTTAAATAAAAAGTTGCTGCCAATTTCAATACGCTCCAATGTCTACTTCGGCTTTCTTTGCTGAAATATTTTGTGTGAAGTGCTTTGGTCTGAAAAGGAAAAACTCTGTGGGCTTAACTTCTACTGTTTGTCCCTGCTGCCATCAGTCCTAGTGATGTGGTCTGAATGAGCCCAGGGTGACTCGGCCGTGGGGTGGTTCGCAAATGAGAAAAACCAGGTTGGACGTGATTTGTCAGTAGTTGTAGATGCAGAGGCTGGAAAGAAAAATGTCTAGAGGACTGAATGGCTGTAGAGGCTGACAGATCTTGATTTCCAAAGCGTTTGTGTAAGTTACTGTGCACCTCTGGAGACCAGGGTTCTGGAAAGTCCTGCAAGAACTGGAAGTAAAGGGTCTTCCACTCCTGAAGTGGATCACTGCTTGATATCCCACATCAGCACTTTTTAACCCAGCAACCTTCTGCACATCCCCTTCCCTCAGTCAGGTCGAGGTTGGAGTAGAAATTCTGTGGGGAAAAAAACCTCTCAGTTGACTAACATGACTCTGGAAGGCAAAGGAGCA